GTGAGCACCGGCCGCCGGGCCGGCTTAAAGGCGGCTGCCTTTAGGTATGGGCGGGGTCCGGGACCCCAGACCGGGTCCCGGCGTCCCCGGCTCTCAGAGCTTGGATCCCGGAGGGGCGGGGTCCCGGGACAGTCTCCCGGGGACCGGCGTCGCTGCGCCCTCTGGCGGCTGCGAGGGACCATGCAGCGACCCCTCCACCTTCCTCGGCCAGGCAAGGTCAAGCTGTAGCTCCCCAGCGCATGGTGTGGTCCTTGCTTTTATTCACTTGTCCACCCTCTCCGCACCCCGTGCGTTCGCTTATTCGTTCAGTTTACTCAGTAGGTATCGTTAGAGCCTGCTCTATACCAGGCCCTGTTCAGGAGCCAGGGGTAGGCGGCCAACTCCTGTCCTCGTGGACTTGAGTTTCTTGTAGCAGGAAACATCAGCGGGGGGCCTCCTTGGTGGCGCAAGGGTTAAGTGTCAGCACTGTGAAGCTGTCCGCAGCCACTGCAGCACGAGTTCGATCCCTGGCCAGGGAGCTGACCCACACGGCACAGCAGACCTCTCAAGACCTGCCCACTGCTCCCCTCAGCAGTGATTTCAGTCGCTCTGCCTGTTCTCCCCGCTCTGTCTCTGGTGAATCCTCTCACCTCCACCCCCAGCTCTGGCCAACACCCCAGTTCTTCATAAATAAATTTTCAAAAATCTTAAAACACATCAGTCAGTACAGTCTGTTATGCAGAGTATTCCAGTATGGTGCGGCTTCCGACCTAATGTGAAGCAGAAAGGAGAAATGGTCCGAGGGCGGGTGATCGTTTTCGTGAGGCGGCCAGAGAAGGCCCTTACTTCCCACTTCTAAGTAGCAAGAATGATACTTTACAAAGTGCACTTGACCACCTTCCCCCCATTAAACCTATCCACAATTAGGCAATCATTTCTATTTTTTAAGATGTATTTTATTTATGCGTACAAGAACTGGGGTACAGGCCAGAGAAGTGGGTGGGTGAGAGGATTCACCAGACACAGAGTAAGAAGCAGAACTGGCAGATTGATTGAAATACACTGCTGAGGGGAGCAGTGGACAGGTCGGGAGAGGTCTGCTGCACCCTGTGGGTCAACCCTCTGGCTGGGAATTGAACTCATGCTGCAGTGGCTGCGGGCAGGTTCACAGTGCTGAGACTCAACCCCTTGTTGAGGCCCTGTAATTTTTTTAATGGGAAATGCTGTGTTGCCAAGGATGTAAAGAAATCAAAACCCTCATAATTCACTGGTGGGCATGTAAAATGGTGCAGCCTGTTTGAAATACGTCTGGCAGTTGACTTAGAGTTACAAAATGACCCAGCCCTTCCACTCCTAAGGGAATTAAAAGTATGATTACACAAAACACTACACTACATGGTCTAAGGCTGCATGTCTCCAGCTGCAGTATTGGCAGTAGCTGGGATCAGCCCAGCCCATCAGATGAGTGGAGGCAGAAAATGTGGTAAATCCATCCAGCCACAGCTGCGGGGAGAAGCTTTGCTCCCAGTTGGTTCTGTTCTCAGGAATGTGAGATGAGGTTGTTCCCAAGATGGTGACTACATGCCATAGGAACACAATGCAGAGGTGTAAGCGAGCTGAGGGCAAGAGACCTTTGCAGGGACCCTCCCTGGTGGCGCAGCAGGTTAAAGCACAGCACTAAGAAGCTAAAGCCACTTCAGCATGAGTTCGATCCCCGCCTGCCCAGGAGGTCACCATATGGTACAGCAGACCTCTCCTGACCTGCCCACTGCTCCCCTCAGCAGTGTACTTCGTCAGTCAACCTGTTCTGCTCCCCACTCTGTCTCTGGTGAGTCCTCTCACCACTCCTGCACCTCTGGCCTGTACCCCAGTTCTGTATGAATAAATAAATGAGTCTTAAAAAAAAGGAGACTTTTGCAGACCCCACCCTAAATTATTGACATACCAATAAAAGCAGGGAGAAGGTGTTTATTTTGAACCAAACTTCTCTTCTGCAGTGCTTCTAAGGCAATAGAGTTCTGGTTAAAGTCAACCTGGTTTCTGAATTTCTGGCTTTTTTAAAGATTTATTTATTTATGCATACAGAACTGGGGTACGAGCGAGCCAGAGGTGCAGGGGTGGTGACAGGATTCACCAGAGACAGAGTGGGGAGCAGAACAGGTGGACTGACTGAAATCCACTGCTGAGGGGAGCAGCAGGGAGACAGGAGAGGTCTGCTGTGCCCCATGGTCAATGTGCCCAATTCCTGGCTGGGGATCAAACTCAGGTGCAGCAGTGATAACTCTGAGACTTAACCCCTGAAGTATGATTTGTATTGGCCCGTGGAGGAACCTCGAAATCATGCTAAGTGAAAGAAACCAGACACAAAGGCCACCCTTGGTACGTGGCATGATTTTCTTTCTAGGAAATGTTAAAATAAGCAAATTCACAGGGACAAAATAAATTTGGTGGCTGCTGGGCTTGACAGGTGGCCGAGAAAGGGATATCTACTACAGAGTCTAAGTATATATATATATTTTGGAAGGTAATAAAACCGATCGTGGTGCTGATGCCTGTTTGGAGAGGAGTTGATATCAAAGAGAAGTTTCATCAGAGCTCCCCTCTCAGCGGTACAGAGCACACGGTGAGGTGTTTCCTCACAGGCCAGAGAGGTCACATCCCAGAGGGCAGGTCTGCTATATAAAGGGAGGGGA